GGGGGGGAGGAGGGGGTGTGATTGTTATCGAGTACACTGTATATTGGTCTATCTGAGTGGATCCTAAGTCCCTTTCAACCAGCCTTGCGTATTATAGGCAGGTTCGAAGCCCATCTCCTAAATGATTGAAACTGCATCTGTGAGGTGTAAGGACCCCAGCAAAATAGTAACGATCATAACAACTTTCCAAAGCAAAATGGGAGATGTGAATGATCCACCACCTTACCAACAACAAAAACAAATACCCAACTTTTATCGTGCCTGTCTGTTTGTACACAATAATCCGTTCAACTCACCCATTTCTAGTCCTTCTTTTAAAATATACACCCCGGAGTGCTGTGCGTGCAGTCTGCACAGAAACGAAGTTGCTCAACAATTCGTCACGAAGAACGTGAGTCATCTTGAAAAAGCATATTTTTATCTATAATAGTACTGAACCTCCTCTGGAGATGTTGTTTCGTTGCCACAAAGCAATGTGATTCCACAAGTGGAAAATATAGAGCATTTTTTAAATCAGGGAAAGTACGACAGGCTGGCGTTGAAACAGACTAGCTCTGTATCCCCGAGCAACGCGGGAAAGAAGATTATTATAGTATTCAGCTGCGTCGCTGGGAACTCAGATACCACCAAAACTAGAGCTTCTAGATTCAATATACCCTCTTGAATTATTTTTTACGACAATACTGAAAACATCTGGGCGGGGGGGGGGGTTCTTTTGTTATTGTTTTATATGCTTTTCATCAGAAGGGGCTTATCATGTCATATGCCTTTTCCCCTAAAGGACAAGCATCATATATATTATAATGACTACATGTTTTCGTTCAGTCAGAGTTGAAGGTTTATTTGGTTTCTTTATCCTTATTAGGCTTTAAAAGGAGTAGAATACCATTGGTGCTGGTTTCTGTAGTGTCGCGGTCAGGCACGTCGCTATCACACACAGATCACCTGAGTTGGAGTCCCGAGGGTCAAATTGTTAACGAGTATCTCTGCCTTTCTGCATGAACGTTAGATAATTCTCAGCTCGCCTTGGCCATGACAAGCAGGGTTGAAGCAGCTCGCCTCCTAAACGATCCAAATAGTATTGATGGGGACGTAAAATTTCTTCAATTACATCTTCACCACATACCTGCCGTCCTCATAATAGTCATAAGTGAACACTTAGACGAGCCTACAGGAACGGTGCTTTGGAACCCTCTATATTTAGAACTTGTATTTTTTATGAACGTATTACTAAAGTGTAGGCAATTGTTTTTAGAATTCTCCCTATTATCCAAACTGTTCAGCTACCATGACCATTAGGAGCAAGTGATCTCCCTTTCCGGATGCCTGGTCACCACAACAGTTGTAATAGATAAAGGCTGGAACAGTTCCGACAACTCCCTGCTCCGGAAACTTATCGGTTTCCCTCGCAATTAATTACGCCCCCTTGCAGGAAATGATTTCCGTGTACATTTAGAGTCGATAGAGGTGGGGGTGCAAATCGATACGTTCCATCCTGTGTGGACCCAGGAACGCTATGACCTTCAACCTTTTATTTCGGTCGCTTGCTGCCTCCATTTACACCTTTACCCCCCCCCCCCCCCCTTTGCCCTACCTCACCATATTCCTCCCGCTAACGAAGCACCGCCTTATTCTCGAGACTGCCTTACTTTCCCAAGTTATTGACACGAAGCTGGTGCGTTCTTTTTATAGGTGTTTTGTTTGTGTGGCGAGGTGAACGAAATTTTTTTTCTTGTTTGCCGCGGCTTCCTTTGGGATTTTGATCAGTTCGGTTAGGACATTTTTCTTTCTTTTTCCTTTTTATTTTCTTTCTTTTAAGAGGGGGGGGGGTGTGAAAAAGGGAGGGGGGATAAAGGGACGTTGAGGGGCATGGGTGAGGAGGACAGAAGACTACATTATTGGCTTCCCTTTGATATAGAAGGCTTTATTTAACGAGACTGAACTCTCAAGAAAACGTTAACCACTTTTCGGATTCAACCGCTAAACATTCGCATGTTCGTCGCCACTACTCAAAGGTCGGTACAGCTCATCTTGTCGTTGTCCCAAGAACATTTTTGTGTAAAATGGTACATTTTATTTATTAGGTAAAGTTACCGTACAGCTTTGTGTGCGAACTCGCCGTAAACTCTACTGTCTCAATTTCCTCAAGCTCCCCAAATTCTCTTGGTGGATCACTATGCGCTGATTTATTACAACACAGTCCAGGGACCACGAGAGAAATACTGGAGCTTGATTTAAATGTTAACAAAACTCTGCGGGCACAATACTCTCCCCACTGTTGCACGAATTAGTTTAGCGACTATAACACTTGGAAGTCGTTGCTAAGGTATGACTGTGCGTTTGCGTGTGTGTGTGTGTGTGTGTGTGTGTGTGTGTGTGTGTGTGTGTGTGTGTGTTAATCTGTTCGTGAGTGTGTGTGTGCCTGTTAAACTGTTTATAACTGTACCGCTGCGGCATGTTTGCGCATCAAATGAGGTATTGCTTTACCCCCTTCCCCCTTTCCAACCTTAGTCCCCCGAATTCTACAATGGTTCCCTACCTCCCCTTGTGAGTGAGTATGAACGTGAGAGTATTATCAAAATTTGTCATGTCAAAGTTTGCAAGCATGGAAGACACCTAGAAAGCTAAAGACCCAGAGAAGGATAGGCTATTTATATGTCACACCCTTGCCCTGTCTATTTATATACTTGTCACATTTTGTCTACTTGGATGAGAAATTTTTGTTGTTAGCAAACAAACATATTCTGTAAGGACAATGCCACGTACATATACATTTAGTAATAAATTATGAACATTCATACTGTCGAATGCCTTTCAATATTTCCTGAACGTCTAATGATTACACTGAGACCTCAGTATAGGCAGAATATATGTTTATTAGTTTATTATTATTATGTGTTTGTTGAATGAATATTTTCTTCTCTTGCCAATCTTACAACCACACATCCGCACACGAATAAACGCACAGGCGCGCACACACACACACACACACACACACACACACACACACACACACACACACACACAAACACACACACACACACACACACACACACAAAACACACACACACACACACACACACACACATACAGATACACACACGCTGAATCACACACGTTACCACATGAATTTCTCCTCCTTATCC